ACACTCTGGTAGCATAGTGCCTAAGGCACTTGACTGCTAACCAGAAGGCTGGCGGTTCAAACCCAACAGTCACTCCTCAGAAGGAAGATGGGGCAATCTACTTCCATAGCGACACTGCGTCGGAAACCCAAGGAGGGGTCGCTGTGAGTCAGGTCTGACTCAATGGCACATAACAACAACAACAATATATACAAAAATATATATATATACACACACACATATATATGTATATATGTGCATATACATATACACATATACATACACATTACATACATATATGTATATATATATAAAACTCAAAGATTATTAGCAGTTACCAGGGAAGGAGGGAGGGGGAATGGGGAAGCTTTTGTTTACAGGGCATTGAGTTTATGCTAATGGTGGTGGGATATTTTGGAAAAGGATAGCAGTAACGGTGGCACAACATGAAAAATGTCATTAATGTCCCTGAGCTATAAATGTGGAAGTTGTCATGTTGATGAATGTCTTGATATGTATGTTTTAAGCACAATAAAAGTAAATTTATATCTATACACACACACACACCAAAAAACAATGTGTGTGTGTGTGTGTATATGTGTGTATAGCTCTGGTGGTGTAGTGGATAAGAATCCACTACAGTGGATTCCGACTCATAGCAACCCCCTTTGGGTTTGCAAGGCAGTAAATCTTTGCAGAAGTAGATTGCCCATTCTTCCTGATGGTGCCATGCCTAAGGCATTTGACTACTAACCAGAAGGCTGGCGGTTCAAACCCACCAGTCACTCCTCAGAAGGACTGGACAATCTACTTCCATAGTGACGTCACCTCAGAAACCCAAGGAGGGGTCGCTGTTAGTCAGATCCAACTTGACAGCAGTGAGTTTGGTTTGGTACATATAATTTTATAAGAAAAATATAAATACATAACTAAATGTATAATAGCTCTCAGGGTCCAGACCAAACTACATTATCTTAAATTACCATTTAAAATCCCAATTGAAAATTTATAGAAACTGAAATGATAACTGCTTTATATTAAAGGTCAGTTTTGAAATCTTATATTTTCAATACTGCACAGCATTTTTCAAAATAACAGATTAGTTTATATATACGGCAGCAGGCATATTTAAAATACAACTGATATTTGCAAGAAACTTAAAAGTAACGTTTCTAATATGTTGTATCTAGTAATTGATATAGAGTAAAAACCTGTGAAAGCCAGAATTTCTATAAGGCAGAAATTTGTCAGAGAAAGAAAACTCAAATAATTTCCACTAAAAAGAGTGCTCAAAGATGGAAAAGTTTCAAGACCAGAAACACAAGGCAATCTGTCAAGTTCTGTCTCTCACAGGTTTCATTGTACATATAAATCAATGTTACTTGTTCACACTGATATTTCATCTTCACAATTTCTCCTAATATTTCTCTTAATATCATAAAATGAATTCTTACTGTTAATTAGCAGTAGTAACCCAAAATCCATTAAATGGGGAAGAGAATGTTTGTTTTAATAAATGGTGCTGGCAAAACTGGAGATCCATTTGCAGAAAAATGAAACAAGATCTGTACCTCACACCAGACACAAAAACGAACTCCAGATGGATCAAAAGACTTAAATGTGAAACCTAGAACTATACAGTTCCTCAAGGAAAATTTAGGGTCAAATTTAAGGGCCCTAATATATGGTATAAATAGACTAT